AGATAGATAGATAGATAGATAGATAGATAGATAGATAGATAGATAGATAGATAGATAGATTCAAAGATAGAAAGATAGAAAGATGATAGATGGATAGATGATAGATAGATAGATGGATGGATGGATAGATAGATAGATAGATAGATAGATAGATAGATAGATAGATAGATAGATGATAAGATTGAGATGTCCAATACTGATATCAGCAGGAGAATTGGTTAGAGTTATTGGAAGAACCTCTATGATCCCATATCTTCCCAAATCTTCTAGCATTACTAGTAAAGAACAAGGCTTTTTCATTTCAAACTTGAGAACAATTCATGTGTGAATTTAATGCAACAGCCATGTAGGAATCCAAAACCCAATGATACTTACTGAAATCCTCAAGAGAATCAGACCTGATCCCACCCCCACCATTGAATGTGGCTAACTGTGTGAAATAAGATCTTGGAAAGAGACCATTTCTCTCCTCCCCTCCCCCAAGATACACAGCTTACACATCTCTGTATTCTTGATAAATTTGATGAATCAGTCACACAAATGAAATAAATCCATCTTTATTCATTGCTGACAGTAGAATATAACAGGTCAAAGGGGAGGGTGGGATTGATTTGAAGGGCGAAGGTGTGGAGGGGGATACAAAGGGTGTAACTACATGGAATAGAAAGAGGTGTTATGGATCAAACTAAATTTGGGAAAGAAAGTTTGAGACCCCAGCAGATGGGTCTCTTTTTTCATTCCTGATGGCAGGAAAGGAACTAATCATACAGTTAACAACTCCCAGATTTTCGCACAGTCTTCACAATGGGCTTCCCTTCATGTGTCACTTCACAGGTGAACGTACCATATTTTTCATAGTCAGCTTCACTCAATCTCATGTAACTGCTGGCAACATAACGGTCACCTTGCTTGCTGGCTTTGGTGGTCTCTATTCTAGATGTTATCACTTGATCATCCCCCTTCCATTGCAGTTCGAAAGCAGGTGGGTAAAAGTCGGTTAGGAGACACACGGCAGTATATGGGTTCGGGCCTCTGACTTCTTCCTTGGTAGGAGCAAAGACTTGCACCGAAGGCGATACTGGGGGCAGACCTAGAAGAGAGGAAGATCTCATGAGGTTCTTCACAGCTGTCATGCTTGGAAGCCATCATTTTATAGGGCCTCAAGCCTGCCACATATTCAAACATAGTTAGTAATGGAAACTGGGAGGAGGGATGGTATCGAGATAGATCAATTAAGCAATTAATCTACCCAGATTAGCCAAAGGGTCTCCCTGGGAGGGGAGGTGGTTAGGTAACTGATTAATCCCCTGTGTTACTTTTGTTACAGGGCATACTCTTCTGTTGAGGGGGGCAACCTGTCAGGCTTGGGAGACATCAGGGTATAGGGCCTCAAATATTCAAACCACATATATGCCACATATTCAAACATAGTTAGCATGGGAAACTGGGAGGAAGGATGGTATGGAGCTTGGGAGATGTGTAGCCATAATAACATTCCTTCTCAGAAAGTCAAGGTCACCTTATCCCTGCACCTGGATGGATGTGGATGGGAGGAATCTTCATCCACTGATTGGACCATTTGATGGAATTTTGGGTATTGGGGCAGGGTCTTGAACTTTCAACTGGGTGGGGAAAACCTGGAAGCTTTCCAATTTGGGTTTTCCTAGATGTGCCAACATGGCTCGTGTAATAAATTGGTGTTTTGAGGAACTTTTTTNTGATAGATGATAGATGATAGATGATAGATGATAGATGATAGATGATAGATGATAGATAGATAGATCTATCTATCGGGAAAACATGGTATAAAGATATATAGATATCTCCTACATTTGGCTAGATTGACCTAATAACCATAGGCTTAAATTTTAATTTAGAAACCACAAGGTCTAAACTCAATCAGGCCAATCATATCCTGTATGACCACTCAAATTTTCAAACAATATCCTGAGAGACATCAACATGTCCTTAAACATGATCAACATCCTTTTTAAAAAAATGGGATAATAACTTGGGGTAAGAGAAGAAAAACCTAAGCGATAATTTCCACTCAAGTGTGATAGAACTGTATTTTGTATGGGATGAGGATAGGAACAGCGGATGATGTGAAGAATTGGGTGTGAAAAAGCAAGGCACTTTAAAAAATCTAAAATAACTTTGATTAAATTATTAGCCTCAGGGAAAATAGGGGGAAAGGGGGGGAAAGAAACAGCCATGAAAAGAAAGCTAAATCCAGAGAATGGAGGGAAAGATTTTAATACATGCTGTATGAAGGTAGGCTGCCATTGAAATCCTCATGGTTGGCAGTTTCCACAAGTCATAAGGAAGAAAACTGGTAAATGCTCAATACCATGAATTTACAACTAGAAGTTAATTTAGTTTTGAAGATGGATTAGGGCTAGGAAAAAAAGGCTGTTTCCACACAACCAATTTACTTAACTTTGCATTTACTGAAGCAACACACTGGCTTCCATTAATGGAACCTACTGAGCCATAAACACACCATGCTGGTGGGGTTCACACAACTCAACGGTTAATACATTAATTTACTGCATTTTGATGCTGGGCACCACAATCTAAGAGTGCTTAAGAGAAAGTGGAGGAGATGCAGAGATGGGCTAGAAGGATGATCAGGGGAGTGGAAACTTGAAAGAACTTTGTTTAACTGAACAGGAACTAACAGCCCCATTCAAATTCCTGAAGAGATGTCATACAAAGAAAAAAAAAAAGAACAAGATCTCTAGAAAATTAAGGATGGATAATTCTCCTAATTACAGAAAGGCAGTTCCAAATTTAATTGAGAGGGTGGGATTATAATGCCACAACTACTTTATGGATTATTTATTCCAGTTGAGTTGAACTTCCTTCCTTCCTTCCTTCCTTCCTTCCTTCCTTCCTTCCTTCCTTCCTTCCTTCCTTCCTTCCTTCCTTCCTTCCTTCCTTCCTTCCTTCCTTCCTTCCTTCCTTCCTTCCATCCATCCATCTATCCATCTATTTTCCTTCCTTCCATCTATTTTTCCTTCCTTCTATCCATCCATTTTCCTTCCTTCCATCTATTTTCCTTCCTTCCTTCCTTCCTTCCTTCCTTCCTTCCTTCCTTCCTTCCTTCCTTCCTTATCACAATATCTCCAAGCCATTAAATGACATTTAACTGAGAGGTCATTTTGAAATCTTGTAGCAACGTGTTCCGTAACCATATGAGCTCAATAAGTTACTCAAGCAGGCAAATGGCCTGAAGATATTTCATATAACATGCTCTGGGTCTTAGTATGATTGTTTTAGTTGACTGATTCTGAGAAGTCTATTTTTAAGTCGCTGTTCTTCCACAAAAGTTCAGATTAAAGGCTGTGAACATTTTTTTTGTTTTTTGGACAGGGAAGAAGAGAAAACTGCCAAGAAAATCAGCCAGGCAGAAAACTCTAACCCCTGAATTCCATTCTCTTCTCACTTCTGTTTCCAGTTCCTTTGGCCCTCTGCTCATTGATCACATTTAGTCCTCATTGTTTTGGAGATTGTTGCCCCTCCTTTCTTAAGCAAGGCATTTTACATTCACGGGTTCTAAAAGGAGTCCATTCTCCTTTTTCCAGTGCAGGTATTAGAAGAAATGCATTTTGTAGCTTCATGCTGTATCCAAACAACTTCTAGGACAGGGTTATCAAACTCGATTTCATTTAGGGCCACATCAGGGTTGTGTTTGAACTCGGGGGGGAGGGGCATGGTCAGAGTGGTTATGGCCAGCTGACATCACTTGTTTTGGGGGCATTTTTGGTGGCCCGAACGCTCTGCCAGCGAAAATGGACTCCTGATCTCCGTTTCTGGCTGCGATCACCTCTTGCAACCCTCTGCCTAGGAAAATGGAGCCTGGGAGGACTGCACACAACCCTCATGAGCTCCGTTTTCAGCTGCAATGGCCTCCATTTTCACTGGCAGAGGCACCAAGGGCTGGTCTTTCGCTGTTTCCAGGGTGGCTGCATGAGCCAGATCTAAGCTCCCCTTGGGCCGGATCTGACCCCCTGGGCCTTGAGTTTGGCACCCATGAACTAGGAAGTTAGATATTTACAAAGGGTTTTGAATCAGACAGGAGAATCCTTCCTGCCTTGGGTTTAGGAAAAAGAAGTCCATCAGCTTCATCCTAGAAGATTCGGGCTTAATCCCAACCTGAAACACAGTGCCTAGCACAAAGGAACAAGTCAAATTTAGGTTATATCCATCCCCGATTTGTATCTTAGTTGTAACATTGGAGCATCAGGGTATTTGAGACCAAAGTTGCTCCTGATGTCTACAGTTCTCCTAGAAATAGTCTTTATGCTTCTACTGGTTCCACAGTTTGAATGCTGTATGCGTTGGCTGTCAGCTTTCCAGGGAAACTGTCATCCAGGGGCTTAAAGTGAAAAGTATTGAGTGCATGAGCATTTACTAGCAAGAATAAAATGGGCTTATTTATCAAAGTCCATGTCCTTGGTGAAGGGCTTACTTCCTGCATCTCTCGTAAACAAACTTGCTGGGTAGATAGGATGATAAATATCATCTAATGCTTTTTTCCCCCATTCCTCCATTTAATTGTCCATGTAATTCTTCTTTTTTGTTTCCAGAAGTGTGCAAACTGTTTATTGTAACAGCACATAATAGAAGGCACAATATCTCCACACACAAAAATGATACACTACTTGATTACACTAAGCTGATTTCCCTTCCAGACTGGTGTGTAACTACATTTTCCCTTGAATTATATTATACACCAGGAGAAGAAAATATTCTCTCGGTGACAGCAGGAAAAGAAGGGGGCAAAATACCCCAGAAGAGTAAAAGCTGCAATCATTCAAACCAGGATGTGCTACTTTAATGCTCGAACCAAGATGTTAACCCCGCTCTGAAAATTCCTCTAGTGCTATTGAATACCGGATAACCAAAACAGGAAAATCTCATTCGGATTTACCACGATTTGCGAGCCTCAATGGACGTCTTAAGGGCATTCTTACAATATCTGCAATTTGTTAATAACTCATCAATGGAGTAGAATGTAGAACAGACTTTAAAAATTCTCCTAATCTATTCCACCTCCAAAATTCCACATTATTCTGGTGGGCTGCAGAATTAGACAGGTGTTTAGATTGGATTTGACATTTTTGCAGGACCTAATCTGAGTTGGTCACTGGAACCGAAGGTTTATTCTTGCAAGCTTTTGGGATCATGCTGGATTTCTCCCTCCCTCCCCTCTCTTTCTGTCTCCCCCCTCCCATTTATATGGTGCCTGGTTGTATATTGCTTTTTGTTGTTAATTAGGTTGTTGATNGTGATGACGTCAGCTACGCGGTTTCGTCGAGCGCCCTTTAGTCGAATGCGGTTTTGTGGTGGAACCATCTGACTTGTGTTAGGAAATCACATCGCAACTCTGGATGGTTCTGCATTCATATCCCCTTGTCAAGGTGAACCAACATGGCTCCTTTGAGCTTCTTTTATGGAAGTCTTTAGGGATATTATTGTTTTTTGCTTCAGTCACACAGCAATGAATTGCCTGAAAACGCAAAGCAAATAATGGGTTTCTTTTAAGGTAAAATTAAGATGGGAGCTAAGCAACCTTTTTCTTCTTCTTTTTTTGGTTAATAGACTTCAAAGCAATTTCAGAGAAATCTCACTGGAGGGGGGTTTCGTCTCAAAGAGATGAAAGCAGCATCCTACTGTCTATGTTTCACAAAGCAGTCCCCCCCCTTTTCTTCCTTTGTTATTTATGCTCTTCAAGGTAAATGAATAATTATGTTTTTGATAATGAAAATTTACAAAACCTGTGAGGAAAGGCTTAAAGGTTGGAGAGAAGTGTTACCAGCAGAGTTGAGTGCTTCCTTGTTCCCAGATAACCTTCAATTATCTGAAGGGAAATCAACAAACAATTGTTGGTAGGTAGCCACAGAATCTTCAAAAGCTGACAAGCAAGTCTAAATGGCAAGACAGGTTAACAAAATTAACTGATCTTAATTGAAGTTAACTGGGTTAATTAGTTAACAGAGACAAGATGCTGCTTTTGTCTTACTTACAGAAGTGGCCAAAATTGTGGAAACAATTTTGGGAAAAGTGAATTTTTGAGGTTCGATGGCTAATAACACCACTTTTATTTTTGGAGTAGTACCATAAAAGTATATGCCAATGGACAGATAATTTAATCAAGAATGTAATGCATCAAAGTTTGTTCAATTATATGTATTCTATGAAAAGCTATAGCCAAATATAGCCAGCAATAAAACCCACTTAATAGAAGGAATCATTCAATCTTGGTTTCACATTATAACACTGCAGAACTAAAAGACTTGGTTCATTCCATGGGAAGATGTTGTAAGACCGTAATTCATGCTAAAGGTTACCCAACTAGGTATTAACTGACATAGGGATAATTTGTGTATATCTCATTTTTTCTGTTTTTCACTTTTCTTTATAACTGCTATTCTAATAGCAAATCCTTCATAAAAATTATTGCATTACATACTTGATTAAATTATCTTTCCATTGATATATAATTTTATGGTACTACTCCAAACGAAAGTGGTGTTATTAGCCATCAAGCCTCAAAAATACTGTACATTTTTCCCAAAAGGTTTCCACAATTTTGGCCACTACTGTACCTCTACCAAGCATCATTTGAGGAAGGCTACCCTCAACAACAGAGTGTATTTTAGTGTGAAAAAAAATGTATGTACAACTCCTTAAACATATATAGCTGTGAAGTGCAAACCTGGACCCATCCACACTCATATCACCTGCAGAGATGGAAGGAAAGGCCATGACTAAAAACCAAGGAAGACAAGTTCAACGCAGCACGTGAATACAGACTAAAAAGATCTTAGAGGGGTGGGAAAGCATTGGAGGACACAAAAATTGCAACCATCAATGACACCTCCCTCCTCCCCAGAGATCAATGACTGAAGTAACTTTTCCTGCTAGGAAGGGGTCAAATCAAGCCTTGTTCGGCTGTGATCTACTCTTCTTTCATGAGAAAAGATCAAGAAACACATGAAGACAGGACCGTGAAGTGTGCACGGGTGTGGGTGTGTGAGAACTGGAAGAGGAGGAGTAAATTTGAGGAAGATAAGAGAATTCAATACAGCAAGGCTTATTTATTATCACAGCTGGACTACATAAGAAATCTGTTATGGAGGTGGGTGAATGTACTGGGAAGTGAGGCTGCTTAAAATCCCATGATTTGTTTAATGTGCTTGCACACTGTCCTGAAGGGTTCAGCCAGAAACTCAGTATCTACATAAACGTTGGGGTACTTGATGTAAGCCAAACTGCCTACCCTCTTCTCAGTGTGCACTCACACATACCCATGCACTCCATCACTCAAACCTTTTTTCATGCCACTCAAGGACATGCATGCACAGCTACAACTTGAACAGGATTGCAATACAGGTGTTCAAATACTTGCAAGCATCCATGCTCACAAACAGGGTGAGCATGTCCAAATGAGGGGGAGTGGAGAAATGATTGGGCTTGCCGGGATTAAAATGCCTGACATTCCACTAATCAAGAAAATGACAATATCATTTCCCCCCAGATGTTTCCCACTGACTAATTTTTGAAAAACAATGCCTAATTGATTTGAAAGAAGAAGAAGAAGAGAGAAAAACGATTTCAGGATACGGAATAGAATTATCATTATCATTTTCATCATTAGCTAAAGCACATGCTCATTTTTTTTTAATGGATAATGCAATTTTGTATTTATTCCTGTAGGTGATGCCTAATGGCTTTCTTCTCCTATGTTGTTAGATAGAGACTTGTAGAAGGAGAACAGTGAATTCCAGTTAGATACAGATTTCCTGTACCCAAGGCACAGAGCAATATAATAACAAAGCTACTGAGATACCTGTCTCCACCATACCTTTTATCATGGGAAACCATTTCTTGCCGTTGCAGTATCTAATCTGCCAATTTCTTTTCCACAACTAATTGCTTTATTCTTTTAACTGATGTTCTCAGCAATCTCCCCTTGCCTTTCCATCGGGATGTCGAGATGACTGAAAAAGCCCTTTATTCTACAGCACTAGCTAGCACATCAACTACATTAGAAGCAAATACAGACACATTTGGAAGCTCTCCTAACCAGGAAGCATAAGTCCAGAAAAGGTGATCATACATTAACTCGGTGCATGGAAAGTTCAATCGTCCAGGGGAACTGTTCCAAGATTTTGGAAAACCTATCTAGAAATGACTGCTGTGGAACTATATTTGTAAATAGCAATGCGTTAGCTGTCCTTCTTCAATAAGGTCCTAGATCTAAATGTCTAGTTACAAGAGAGTGGATTGTTCCTGATTTCTGAGACAAATTCTGGTGATCTACTGCAATGAAGACTCACAAATGATTGGCAGATTGCTTGGCAAGCATTTGGACAGGACATCTACTGCAGGATATTGCTAGGCACCATAGCCAGAGAGATGGAAGGAGACAGTTGTGTTTTCTCATATCTTTTGAGCCTGGTTAGGAACTGAAATGTGTCATGGGTCATTAATTTTTTTAAAAATGTAATATTAACAAAAGATTCTCTGGAACCTACAGTGCAGAGTACTTCCCCCCACCCCTTTTGCTCGGCTATAGCTTTGATCTCTGGTTAGCTGGGAAGAAAGAGATGATCTCCACAGCCACCATAAAGAGAATGGACCCACCCAGGCAAGTGTACATACATTCACACATACACGCACTCCCACATTCTGCCATAGTTAGTTACATTCAACTGTGTTTCCTGATCATCTTGTTCAGTTGTTCCTCTCCATTCAGTGTTGACTGCTACCTCCCAGCCCTACAGCCTTCATCCTGGCCAAACAGTGCCCCTTGGTGACATCTACCAAATATAGCCTCCATCATCTGCTTCTCCCTCTTCTTCTTCTTCAGCTTCCTCGCCAGCTTCCTCTGTCTCCTTCTCTTCCTCATCTTCCCATCCGACACCACTCCCAAAGTCCCCTGAGAATCCAACAATGTCGTCTATAGAAACAAGAACAAATCGGTTAAATAAGAGCCAAGGTGGCGCAGTGGTTAAATGCAGCACTGCAGGCTACTGCTAGATCAGCAGTTCAGCGGTTCAAATCTCACCGGCTCAGGG